TATCAGTAACCCACATCTTATTAAAGAAAATAGTTCAATTATGTGTTATTTGTACCAGGCAGTGGAAAGGACAAATGAATATGGAGGGTTATCGTAAATGCACTGTGAGCTGAAAGGTGATCACCAGCCCATATTTTCAGAAACCTGAAGACAATGGGCAGCAGGCTGTGATTGCAGCTTGTCTCTGGATTGGCAGACTATAAAGACTTTGTCCACACAGAGAGATTGTTACCGCCAATGGCCTGCCTTATTGTTTAGGGAAATTAGCTATGCGGCAGGGGGGACCAGAGGGGTACAGGGATCACACACCACTTGTATACCAAGGGCCAGCACAGTAGGAAGATTCCAGATTTGAAGATAAAATTAAATAGGTTTTATTGAAGAACTAGGAAAAAGGTCCATTGTGGAAATAAATACAACGAGCTCTAGAAAGAGGCTCTGGGCAGGTGCCCCGGCCTTGGACACTCAGTGTCAATTTGCTGTGGCGACCTCAGCAGGGTATAATGACACCGAGTCTACCATATTCTCCAGAGGAACTGATCTCTGCTACCTAAAGAACAGTTGTAATTTTGAGTGCTCTCCAGCCGTCACCTGGAGATTAGCAACGATGGTTTCCCAGAAGGGAATGGTTGGTTTGGAGGGTGGAGTCTATGGCTTTGTACCTGTCTGAGGTCCCATGCCTCCTGAAACGTCACCCTCTCCAGGCTCCATCCCTCACATCTCCAGGAATTTCCCACCTGGAGTTGGCAACCCTATCTCCTTCCCAGCCAATCATCAACCTACCTTTATTTTCCCCTCACTCTTCAGCTTTCCACCCCCCCACACACCTGCAGCCTCTCCGGTGCTCTGAAGCCCTGACTGCTATGTCACATTAGCTGTCATATAGGGGCCACCTCAGCAGCATACAATGATACACAGTCCACCATTTTCTCCAGGGGAACTGATCTCTGCCATCTGGAAAGCAGTTGTAATTCTGAGTGATCTCCAGCCCTCACCTGGAGATTGGACACATTTTACCTCAGAACAGCAAACTGTTTAGAATATTAGAGGCAAAAGCCAATCAAGTCGCATATGCAAACGACCTCTGTGTTCTGAGGCAAAGGCCAATGAGGCTGCATATGCAAATAACCTCTGTGTTCTGACCGGCTATGGGGGGGAGAGGAACAGCAAACTGTTTAGAATGTTGGAGGCGAGACTCAAGCAATGCAGCCAGTGGATAGGGACAGATTCTGAGTGACACACCAGGGCGCCAACCAATTCCAGAGCATGTGGAATGTTCTAGAGAAGTGCCACCACCATTTGGCTTTTATATATAAGGGAGATTTTCCTAATTACAAACACACTAAGCATTCAAAAAGAACAAGCAATACAGAACTAAGAAAGCAGATGTGATTGAGAGATCAGGTATGGGGTGATACAACCTGTCCAGAGATGCAGGGGTCCATGGAGTTGAGATTATGGCCCAAACCAAAGGTTTAGGGGTGAACTGCCAGTTGGCATCAAGGCAGACACACAAAATCTGAGGCCATGTGGTCTGATGAATATAGACATTGAGGGAAAAATGCAGACCAATGGGAGGCCTTGGGGGCTGGTCTTAGGTGAGAACAATATATTTCTAGACCAATAAGGAGTCCATGGAGGTGTGGTACCCGGAGGGGCAAGCCCTAGGTGGGACCAATGAGCTTTCAGAGGGGGAGAGTCTAGCTGCACAATAGTCCTGATGGGTCTTGATGGCCACTGATGGTTCCCAGATTTACACAAAAGGTGGGAGATGGGTCCCTGATAGACGCCAGGAAGGATCATTAATAATTTGAATGTTCGATTAGTTATCTCAGTATCTTGAGGGATGGGGCAGGAAGGACAGGTGTTGAGACAAAGGATTTATAGGAATCACAACAAGGGCTAGGTGAAGTTCTGGAGATAGAAGGGTTATTCGTGAGGTGGCCTCTGAATAGCTTTAGAAATGCAGATACTACACCTGGAGGAACCTGCCTACATTGTCGCTGCTGGAGGAGGGGAGGTTGAAGATTGCCTTGGAGGGCTGCCTTGTATGAAAACCTGAAAATGGAGACCCTCCTCCCAGAGCTGTGGCTAGTTCTGTGTTTCAGGCCAGGAGTACCTTCCTTTGGCCTGACTTTTGTGGGTCTCTGGTTCAGGAGTGGGGTGCTCTGCTGTTGGGGCTACCCTATAGTAACGCAGCATCTCTGGGTTACAAGATGTTCGTGACAAGTATTTGACAGAGAATGGTGTGCAAAGGGAGGGTGGAAATGGAACCAGAGCAATTCAACATGGTAGAGAACATCAAATAAAACTGCCACCTCCATTTGTTTATTATTACACTTGTATCTTCCTCCTTCTCCGCCATGGAACTCAAGTGGACATACATAGAGGTTCCAGGTTTCCCATTCAGATACTGACTCAATTCAGGCCTTCTCAGCTTCAGCAAGATTGCTTTATTATGTGCCCTCCAGTCCTACCTGAGGACTAGAAGCTTGGATTGCTGGCACTGTACCTCATTTTATGATTTAAAAATACCGTACCTGACTTGTTCTTCTAACTGCAGCCAAACAGTGGCCTGTACTGTAGGTGCTCCAGTATGTCCTGCACAGGATCCCAAATAAGTATAGATAAGTGTGTGGAGGGGAACCTGGAAAAAAAATCTTAACACTATTAGAATCCAACCTTTAGGAGATCCTCCTTCAGCTATACAATCTTAATAAACTATTTATGTGAAAGCTGCAAAACCTCTCACACTAGGTGCCTCAGCACTGGAAAGCCTGCAGCTGAAGCAAGGCAAAACATACGCAGAGAGAAGTTCTTCAGGTAGAGACCGCTGAGATGGATAGCCAGTGCACTGGAGATGATGCGGGTTCAAGTCTCCACTCAGCTATGAAGGCAATTGGATGACTCTCACTAGTAGTGCTCTCAGCCTAAACTACTTTACAGGGTTGTTGTGAAGACATATGGAAGAACTTTGATTGCCTCTATTTATTTATTTTACTTTATTTAAACACCAACTTGCTGTCCAGTATGGCCCCAAAGTTGATTCATTTGAAATGCGGGGCTGGGGGAGAGTTTTATAGATACCATGGACTGCCAAAAAGACAAGTAAGTGGATTCTAGATCAAATCAAGCCCAAACTCTCCCTAGAAGCTAAAATGACTAAATTGAGACTATCATACTTTGGTCACATTGTGAGATGGCAAGATTCACTGGAAAAGGCAATAATGGTAGGCAAAGTCAAAGACAGCAGGAAAAGAGGAAGACTCAAGATGAAATGGACTGACTCTATCAAGGAAGCCCCATGGCTTCAGTTTGCAAGACCTGAGCAGGGCTGTTAATGACTGGATGTTCTGGAGATCATTCATTCATAGGGTTGCTATAAGTCAGAAGTAACTTAATGGCACTTAAGAAGAAGAAGAGATTGGATTTATACTCCACCTTTCACTACCTGAAGGAGCCTGAGAGTGGCTTATAATCCCTTTCCCTTCTCCTCCCCACAACAGACACCCTGTGAGGTAGGTGGGGCTGAGAGAGTGATCCAACATTGGCGTCTCTTATGTTCTTATGAGTTCTCTCGAGAACTGCCCTTGAGTGAACAGCTCTGAAAGAACCTATGACTGACCCAAGGTCACACCAGCAGCTGCATATAGAGGAGGGGGGAATCAAACCCTGTTCTCCCAGATTAGAGTCCACACTCCTAACCACTACACCAAACACACATGGGTCATATGACTGTAGTTTCAGCTCCTGCCTGGTTTGCTAATCTTTGCCAGATCTTGAAAGCTAGCTAAGCAATGTCGGCCCTGGTTAGTACTTGGATGGGAGACCTCCAAGGCAGTCCAGGGTTACTATGCTGAGGCAGACAATGACAAACCACCTCTGTTTGTCATTGATTCATTAATGGAGATCATTAAATCATAGGGTTGCTATAAATTAGAAGCAACTCGACCGCATTTCTGTCTCTCTCTCTCTCTCTCACAGAGCAAAACTAAATAGGCATACCAACTATAAAAAATTTAAATAAACATGCCTTTAAATAAAAGAAGATGCTGCAGTGGCTGAAGCACAAACTGCAGTTTGGGCACATTCAGCAGAATGCTGATTTCTTCTCAGGCCAAGTATAAGGAACAAAGTCTACTTGACTCACATGCAGAACAGCTTTGCAATTATCCTGTACCTGTTTTCCGAGCTACAGCTCAGTCACGGCATATGAAAGGTAATAATAACATGTCACATGCCCGCCTGTATGTCTACAGAGCATTCCTTTCACCACCGAATGACCACAGAGGCCACATTTAAGAACAAGGTTCGGGTAGAGCTGCTGAGAAGTTTTATTGGTTGTATGTACAGGACACTCCCAAGTTTCCGTCAGATAATTTCACCGATTGTATAGAGAGGGTGGTGGTGGTGGTTGCTGCCTGTTTTCTAGCTTGGGGAGAGCTACAATGTTCCAATAAGGAACACCCAAGTATCTGCTACAAAAATACTCAACACAGCCTAAACAAGGAAGGCTACCCAAATCATGGAAACTTTCAAGAAAAAGGTTAGATAAGCATTTGTCGATGATGAAGCGCCCTGTCTCTGGGGCAGGAGCAAGGGACATCCACTGCCCCCCCCCCCCCCCCCTCCAGAGGCAGGAAGCCCATATGGCTTTTGCTGTCTACCTTTGCATGAAAATCGACTGAGTTCCTTTTACTCAGGAATTTCTTACAGCGTTGCTCTTTCTCTTCCTATCTGCAACTCGTGGCCCGCACACATTTTCTTCTTTATTTTTCTCGTGCAGCTTTCCCCACTCCCTCCCCGCTTCCCCCCTTGGAAACCTCTGGCAGGCATCCAGTTCCTTCAGGCGACGGGGGGGGGGGGGGGGGGGAGCCGTGGACGGCGGACTCCGGCTACGGTGTAGCCCCTTCCGCGGTGTCTGGCGGTGAGGAGGGAACGGGGCGTTCCTGCTGGACCCGCCCACAGCTTCTCCCGGGCTTGGAAGGCGGGAAGCGGCTGGGAGTCTCTCTCAGCGCGGCCAGCTCCAAACTTCCTGAAACACTGCGGGAGGGCGAAAGAGACGGGCAAACTTTCCCTGGGCAGTAAGCGCGGCGCCGCGGCCTCAGGGGCGGCAGCAAGAGCTCCCCCAGCGATGGGCCTCCTCGACATCCTCGGCCTGACGCTGGCTACCGCTCTGGCGCTCTATGCACTGTGTCTTCTTGGCCGGAGGAGAAGGTAAGGGGGCTGACCGGGGTGGGAGCGTGGGCCAGATCCCCGAGTCAGTGGCGGCGGCGGCAGCAACGAAAGCAAACCTTCAGTCCTTTCCTCCGCTTGCCTGCCCACACCGAGGAAGCTGCGGTTCCCAATAGGTCTGTGGAAATGTCCTGTCCCTTTAACTTGGTCTTGGGAAACCAACCAGCAGCAACCCGCGTTCCTAGTGGTTGGATCCACTCTCTCCTCCTTTATTCCAAGAGGGAACCGAGGCCTCGGTAATGTCTGTTTAGTGCGTTCCTGGGAAATTGTGTCGTGATAAAAGGCCTTAAACTAGGCTCGTGGACCTGGAAGTCTCCCCCGCATCTCAGGTTGCTGCTCCTTGCCCCAAGTTGGAAATCCAGTCGCCCCACCTGAACTGCTATTAGGTTGAACTCTAGAATTCAGTCTGTCCAAACAGGAAAGCTGTGCGGGACCAGTGTGCCCTCTAAGTCATAGTGCAATCCTAAATAGAGTTACACCCTTCTAAGTCCATGTCAGTCTGTGGGCCTGGGTGTAACTGTGCAGGATTGCACTGGTTAGTGATAGGTAGGAGGAAGGTATGACCAATTTATATGTGCTAATACAGTTCCTTGACTTATGCAAATGTTTATTAAGAAGAAGAAGATACAATTCATCAGCCAAAGAATAAAACAACACTTCAGACAAATGTATGGAACTGGGAATCTCAGAGGGCCAGCTTAAAAAAACTAGTACAGTCCTCTGAAAAAGAGGACACCTGGCCACCTTAATGTGAGTTCAGCAGTGAGCAGGTTCAGATATTTCAGAAAGTTAAACAAGTGCAGGGCATTATCCTGTTGACCACTGTAAACTCTAACCTTATGAACATGTGAAGGTAATTAATTATTTAGCTTGAAACTTTCACTCAGCCCCTGACCCCAGAAGCCCTTGAATTGGTTTATAATAAAGCATTAAAATACAAACAAAGGTGATAAAGCCCTTGATCCCTGCAAGTTTAAAGCTTATAAAAATAAAGGCAGCAGCATATCTAAAACCAGTTCATCTTGAAAAGGACCAATGGAAAAAGTTTTCCATAACTGCTTAAAAGCAACGGTTGAGCAGGTATGTTGGATCTTATGACATTGGATGTTCCAAGTCCGGTGTAGTGGTTAAGAGCACGGACGCTAATCTGGGAGAACCGGGTTTGATTCCCTACTCCCCCACATGCAGCTGCTGGTGTGACCTTGGGTCAGTCATAAGTTCTTTCAGAAGAACTGTTCTTTCAAGGGCAGTTCTCGATAGAGCTCTCTCAGCCCCACTTACCTCACAGGGTGTCTGTTGTGGGAAGGGGAAGGGATTGTAAGCCGCTCTGAGACTCCTTCAGGTAGTGAATGGTGGGGTATAAATCCAATCTCTTCTTCTTCAAAGTATTGACACCACCTCTTAGAGAGCCTTGTGGCACAGTCTGTAATGGCATGTGGAAAATTAACTTTTCAAAAGCTCTCTGTGAGGATGAGAAGGAGTAATGTATTTCATAGAGCCTATGTATGTACTGGCCCACAGAGACAATTTTTGCCTTCCGGAATGATTGTTATCCCTGTTTGATATTATCAGTATGCAAGACAACTTGCAAGCTCATATAAAAGAATGTTACATAACATTCATATCTGTTCAAGTTCAGCTTCTTTGATAAAGATGAAATATTTTTGGCTGTGTAGTGTGTGTTCAGTACACATCGGTGATATCCAACCAACAAATTAATGTATAAATATTTATTTATTTATTTGACTTGTAAACCACTGGCTCAGGATTGGTGGTGGTGATGGAATGTGCTGTCAAGTTGCGGCTGACTTATGATGACCCTATAGGGGTTTCTAAGACAAAAAATGTTCAGGTGGCTTTCCATTGCCTGCTTCTGCGTAGCAACTTTCTTGGTGGGTCTCCCATCCAAATACTAACCAGAGCTGACTTTGTTTAGTTTCCAAGATCTGATGAGATCAGGCTAGCCTGGGCAAATCGGATTAGGATTATGTCAATTTATATCCAAACAACAGAAGTGAAATTGTTTTATAAAAATTTAAACTATTCTCAAAAGGCTATTTCTGTGAACTAGAATATAGTTCTGAATATGCTGTATCAGGGGTGTCAAACATAAGGCATGGGGGCTGGAACCAGCCCATCTGGGGCTGTTATGTGGCCAGGAGCAACTGATGCATGGGAGGGAGTGCTGGGGGGAGTGGGTGGAGCCACTCCATTTTAGCTTCAGCACTGCAGAACAACCTCATCTGCAGCAGTCAAGCATGTGTGGGAGCATCTGCCTAGCGCTGCACTGCTGCCTCTCCAGTCCGCCTATGTGGGTTTTCCTCTGCACACCCCTCCCAGCCCATGGGGCCTTGAAGTGAGGATACGTATTTTATACAGTCTCGATCTCCGGTACCTGGCATTATGTTTTATGGCACACATGACCCGGCCCGACGAAGTGACATTTATGTCAGATCCGGCCCTCGTAACAAATGGGTTTGATACCTCTGCAGAGCATTAATTCCTTCTTTGTGACAAATAACAATTTCACTTTCTTAAAACAAATACATTACTAAATTTACTGTTAGGATACAGACTTTTCAAGAAGAGAGTCTGCCCTTTTAAATATCCAGTGAAAGAATGTCTACCTTCAGCACTGTCAGGATTCCTGTTCTGTAGAAGCTGCTCTACACAATCGGCATGGGTTGTCAGGCTCCAAAAGCTGATACCACCTGGCTATAAGATGTCCACAGTTATAAAGCACATGTGTTTTGGTAGCGTGATATCATCAGTAGAGCTAAGAAAGGAATGTACTTCGAAAAGGACCCCCTCAAGTCCAACTTTCTCACTTGGACTCAAGACAGATTACATGGAGTAAGTGTATGCAATCGATGGATGGGACATTCAGTAAACAATGTAATAGGATTAGGGTTGTAGAACCAACCAGAAGTCAAAAATGGAACTGAAGGTAAGTGTAAGCATTAACATGACACATTAAATGATGCAAAACTCTATAGTAGGATCCTAGTTTTAGCAGGCAATACGCAGTAGTGTAGACCACAGTACTTAATACTTTTTCCAAGTAACTTTATGAATAATTTAGTACAGTGCAAGTCTGTGACCCTGTTGAATCATTCAGTTTTACTTGGTTAGCAGAAAAACAGGAGAGTGGGAGCCTTCCTAACCACCTCAGGCAGGCCATTCTATAAAGTGGGAGCCACAATGGAGAAGACACGTGTATGGGCAGTTGTTAATTTTTTCCAGAAGAAGAAGAAGAGGAGGGATTTATATCCCGCCCTTCCCTACCCAAAGGAGTCTCAGAGTGGCTTACAAACTCCCTTCCCCTCACCACAGCAGACACCCTGAGAGAGCTCTGACAGAGACTGCTCTTTTTCAAGAACAGCTCTGGCAGAACTATGGCTTGCCCAAGATCATCCAGCAGGTGCAAGTGGAGGAGTGGGGAATCAAATCCGGTTCTCCCAGATTAGAGTCCACGCACTTAACCACTACACCAAACTAGTTGCAGTTTGGCCCCCAAAGAAGTCCCTGTTTCGATGAGTGATGCTGTCGTGGTGGAGCATAATGGGACAGGTAGTCTCGCAGATATGAGGGTCCAAGGCCATGAAGGGCTTTGTATGTGATAGCTGACACCTTAAATTGAGCCTGGTAATGGATGGGCAGCCAGTGAAGTGCCTGCAGACTGTGAGTAATATGCATGCTCCATATGGCTCTTGCCAATAGCCAAGCTGTGGCATATTGCACCCATTGGAGTTTCCAATCTGATTTTGAGGGGAAACCAATGTATACTGCATTGCAGTAGTCTTGTCTTGGTGTTACTGTGGCATGGATCCAGGTGGCCAGATCATCTGTGTCAAGGTAAGGGGCTATCTTTTGAGCTAGGCTGAGTAGGAAGAAAGCCTTTTTTGCAACTGCTTTAACTTTCTTCTCCAGTAATAATTTTAGGTCCAGTATAACCACAAGGCTCTTAACTGAGTCGGCAAGGGTCAGCTGAACTCCATCAAAAGTGGGGAGCACAGTGTTCTTCAAGATCTTCAGCATTACCTGTCTTTTCAGGGTTTAGTTTCAATTTGTTCACTCTTAGCCAATTTACCACAGCAGTCAGGCAGTTTTTTAGGACCTCTATCACATCATCAGAGGTTTTTGATAAGGATATATAGACCTGAGTATCATCTGCATATTTATGGCATCCAGCCCCAAAGCTGTGAATTCTTTATCCTAAAAAGTTTACATAGAGATTGAAAAGCATGGGGTATAGAACTGCACCCTGTGAAACTTCCACGGAATAGGTCCCACACTGATGACAACTGATCTCCCACAGCAACCCTTTGGATTTGATCTGCAGGGAATGATTTGAACCAGTTCATTGTGCATTCCCTGATACCTACTTCTTCCTCCAAGTGCCTCAACAAGATGGTATGATCTACTGTATCAAAGGCTGCAGATAAGTCCAACAAAAGCAACAAGGAGGCAGGGTCTTTGTCTACACTAAGACGAAGATTGTCAACTAAAGCTAGCAGAGTCATCTCTGTTCCATAGCCCAGCCTGAAGTCAGGCTGTAAAGGGTCTAGAGTTATCCAAGAAGACCTGGAATTAATCTGCTACTACACTTTCAGTCACTTTGCTCAGAAAGGGGAGTTTAGATACTGAGCAGTAATTGGCTACATCATTTTTCTGTAGGGATGGTTTTTTAAAATAGTGGATGGATACCGACCTCTTTGAGTGGCTGAGAGAAGGTGCCTGAGTTAGTGATGGATTCTTGATAGATACTAAGGTTGTTTATATATTTAATATCTATTATTATAGTTTTTGTTGTTGTTCAGTCGCACAGTCGAGTCCGACTCTTCGCGACCCCATGGACCAGCTCCCGCCAGGCCCTCCTGTCTTCCACCGTCCTCTGAAGTTTGCTCAATTTCATGTTCGTTGCATCTATGACACTGTCCAACCATCTCATCCTTTGCCGTCCCCGTCTTCTTTGACCTTCG